TATATGGATTTCAGAGCTACAGAACAGCTGTGACAAAGGCAGTAAAGGGAGAATCTCTTTTGCTGTCTAGATAGCCTCAGGTTTAGATGGACTTCAGGTGGAACATTCTCTAGCTGCCACTGAGTGCCTGAGACAGACAGCTCCCTCTCCCTCAGCTTCCTATCCTGGCTGGTGACAAAGAATGGTAACCAAGTGGAGGAGGCATTGAATTTACTTTGACTCTGGCAGACATAAAGCCCTCCACATTCACTTATTGGACAACTAGGTCACAGACCTGTAGGGTTACCAGTGATTGGGTGTGACAAAGGTGCAAGATGGGGAAGGAGGCATCAACCTTCCCAGATTAATTTATTTGCTGGTGGGTATTTCTGACCTCACAGAGCACCAGAGCGAGTCATACATGATCTACCAGCAGACCCCTGCTGTCTACTTGTCAGAGACCTTTTGAACTCCCCCACCTGAGACCAGTGCTGATTGGGACAATTGATTTGGGCCTCTTGCAGTGGGCTAATCACCCAAGGACTATCCAAAGTGGTACCTTGGGTGTGTGGTTGTGGGAAAGTGTGATTTACCTTTACCAATTGTTGTCTATAGGGGGTGGGGTAACTTAATTGCTAGTATTTCTCCACAGCTGAGAATTCAAGCCAGAGTAACTGACTTACTAGGGTAGAACAGAGACCAGCTAAAAACAAGACAGACACACCTAGTCCCACCACACCAAGCAGGCCCCCAGTTTCTCAGGCCGTAGCACTGTACAGGTCCTGGGCAAAGATCTGGGGGAAAAGTATAGACACCAATCCCAGCTTTTGGGCAAAGGGCTAGTGAATTACTACTCTTTGAGCCCCCAATCCAACTTCTCCTTATTTGCTTACCTAGCCACACATTGTAAACCCAGAATGGGGTAGAATCAGAGGAAAATCTCTGGTAACATGAATAACCAGAGTAGATCAACCACCCCAAGGAAGGATGTGGCAGATTCAACTGAAGATCCCACCCATAAACAGATGGCTGAGATGTCAGAAATCAAGTTCAGAATCTGGATAGCAAATAAGATCAACAGAATGGAGGAAAGGAGGGAATTAGAATTTCAAGAAATTATTCAAAAGATATCTCAAGAATTCAACAATTTCAAAGATGAAATGACCAAAGATTTTGACACATTGAGGCAAGAGCTTGCAACCCTCAAAGATCTGAAAAATATGGTAGAATCCCTTGGTAACAGAATGGAGCAGGCAGAAGAAAGGATCTCTGTGACACTGAAGACAAAGCTTTTGACCGCACCCAAGTGCTCAAAGATGAAGAGAAATGGAGAACAAAAACAGATCATTCTCTCAGAGAACTCTGAAATAATTTGAAGAAAACTAATATTCACCTTATAAGAATCCCCAAAGGCAATAAAGATGTTTCACAAAACACAGAGGCTCTTCTTCATGAAATTATGAAAGAGAACTTTCCAGACATACCATGAGATTCTGAAATTCAGATAGCAGATAGTTTCAGAACTCCCACAAGACTCAACCCAAACAAGAAATCCCCCAGGCCCATCATAATTAACTTCACTAAATTTAATGTTAAAGAGAAAATTCTGAAAGGAGCTAGACATAAGAAAATCATAACCTACAAGGGGAAGAATATTAGAATGACTGTAGATCTCTCTGCTGAAATCTTTCAGGCTAGAAGAGGGTGGTCATCGACATTTGATCTAAAACAAAATTACGTTCAACCCAGGATCCTGTATCAAGCTAAACTGAGTTTCATCTATGATGGAGAAATTAAATACTTTAATGACATTCACATGTTGAAGAAAGTTGCCATAACTAACCAGCTCTTCAGGATATTCGCAGACCTATCCTCAATAATGACCAGTGCAATCCTCCACCACAAAAGTAAACTCACTCAGAAACTTTTGATCAAATTCCAACTTCCACTGTGGCAAAAGGATTAAAAATGTCCACTGGACTTTTGAAAAACTCGATACCCAAAATTTCACCAGACTTATCAATATTCTGAGTTAATGTGAATGGCTTAAATTGTCCTCTAAAGAGGCACAGGTTGGCTGACCAGATACAAAAACTCAGACCAGATACCTGCAGCATACAAGAATCCTACTTTACCTTAAAAGATAAATATATACTCAGGGTGAAGGGTTGGTCATCTATATTCCAGGCCAATTGAAAGCAGAAAAAAGCAGGTGTTGCAATTTTATTCACAGATACAATAGACTTTAAACCAACAAAACTAAGCAAGGATAAGGATGGTCACTTTATATTTGTTATGGGTAATACTCAATATGATGAGATTTCAAGTATCAATATATATGCACTCAACCAGAATGCACCTCGATTTATAAGACATGCTGTAATAGGCATGAGCAACTTGATTTCTCCAAGCTCAGAGATTTTAATACTCCTTTGGCAGTGTTAGACAGATCCTCCAATAAGAAGCTGAGCAAACAAATTTCAGATTTAAACTTAACCATTCAGCATTTGGATTTAATGGACATCAACAGAACATTTCATTCTACCAAAACCATTTTTCTCATCAGCCCATGGAACATACTCCAAAATTGACCACATCGTACATCAAAGTCTAACCTCAATAAATTTAAAAGAATACAAATTATTCCATGCATTTTCTCCGACCATCATGGAATAAAAGTTGAACTCAGTAACTACAGGAATCTGGAAACTCATTCAAAAACATGGAATCTAAATAACCTTATGTTGAATTATAGGTGGATCAGAGACGAGATCAAGAAGGAAATTACCAAATTTTTAGAACAAAATGATAATGAAGACACGAGTTGTCAGAACATCTGGGATACTGCAAAGGCAATCCTAAGAGGGAAATTTATAGCACTGCAAGCCTTCCTCAAGAGAACAGAAAGAGAGGAAATTAACAACTTAATGGGACATCTCAAGCAACTGGAAAAGAAAGAACACTCCAATCCAAAACGCAGCAGAAAAAAAGAAATAACCAAAATTAGAGCAGAATTAAATAAAATTGAAAAAAAAGGATTATACAACAGATCAATAAATCAAAAGTTGTTTTTTTGAAAAAGGTCAATAAAATACGTAAACCTTTGGCCAAACTAACCAAGAAAAAAGGAGTTAAATATCTAATTTTAATAATCAGAAAAATAACAACAGACTTATTAGAAATTCAAAAAATCTGTAATGAATATTACAAGAAACCTCACTCTCAGAAGTATGAAAATCTGAAGGAAATCGACCAACACTTGGAAGCACGTCTCCTTCCAAGACTTAGTCAGAATAAAGTGGAAATGTTGAACAGGCCTATATCAAGTTCTGAAATAGCATCAACTATACTAATTCTCCCTAAAAAGAAAAGACCAGGACCAGATGGCTTCATGTCAAAATTCTACCATACCTTTAATGAGTAACTAGTACCTATATTACTTAACCTTTTCCAAAATAGAGAAAAAGAAGGAATACTATGCAACACATTTTATGACGCAAACATCACCTTGATCCCCAAACCAGGAAAAGACCCAACAAGGAAAGAAAATTATAGAGCAATATCACCAATAAATATTGATGTAAAAATATACAACAAGATCCTAATGAATAGAATCCAGCAACACATCAAACAAATTATAGACCAAGACCAAGTGGGTTTTATCCCAGGATCTCAAGGCTGGTTCAACATAATGTAAATCTATAAATGTAATTCACCACGTAAACAAATTAAAAAACAAAGACCATATGATTCTCTCTATTGATGCAGAAAAAGTTTTTGATAATATCTAGCATCCCTTCATGATCAGAACACTTAAGAAGATTGGTATAGAAGGGACATTTCTTAAATTTATAGAGGCCATCTACAGCAAACCCATAGCCAATATCGTATTGAATCAACTTAAATTGAAATAATTTCCACTCAGTTCAGGAACCAGGCAAGGTTGCCTATTGTCTCCATTGCTCTTTAACATTGCAATGGAAGTTTTAGCCATCATACTTAGGTAAGAAAAGGTGATCAAGGGTATCAATAGAGGATCAGAAGACATTGAACTTTAACTCTTCCCAGATGATATGATACCTGGAAAACATCAGGGATTCTACTACAAAACTCTTAGAAGTGATCAAGGAATGCAGCAGCATTTCAGGTTACAAAATCAACACTCATAAACCTGCAGCCTTTATATATACCAACAACAGTCAAGTTGACAAAACAATCAAGGACTCTATTCCGTTCACAGTAGTGCCAAAGAAGGTGAAATATTTGGGAGTTTACCTAACAAAGGACGTGAAAGATCTCTATAAAGAGAACTATGAAACTCTAAGAAATGAAATAGCTAAAAAATGTTCACAAAAGGAAAACCATACCATGCTCATGGCTGGGAAGAATCAACATTGTTAAAATATCCATACTACCCAAAGCAATATATAATTTTAATGCAGTCCCTATTAAAGATCCACTGTCATACTTTAAAGATATCAAAAAATAATACTTCATTTTATATGGAATCAGAAAAAAAAAAAACTCAAATAGCCAAGACATTACTCAGAAATAAAAACAAAGCAGGAGGAATCACACTAGCAGACCTCAAACTATACTATAAATCGATAGTGATCAAAACAGCATGGTACCGGGACAAAAACAGAGAGGTAGATGTATGGAACAGAATAGAGAACCAAGAGATGAATCTAGCTACCTATGAATCTATGTTCAAGAGGATGAGCCTAGCCAATTTAATCCTATTTTATCAATGGGAAATGCTATGTTTCCCATAAGCTACCATTTCCTGAACAAAATCATTTTAAATGTCAGAAGAAAGTTGTCATGTTAGAAAAGGACAATATTCTGTGAAGGAAAAATCAACATGGCAAGGAAATCATGAGATATGAATTGACCCCAAACCAGTATTTGAACCAAAAATCTCAAATATGAGTTAAGTGATCCAGATCCCAAGCCCAACTGGGTAAAAAAAAAAAATAGTTTTAAAATAAAAAATTTTATAAAATAAGTTTATACATTACCTGGTAATTATTTTGGTTTTGTGATAATCCCAATTGATTTGATGATGCAAAATGTGAAGAAAAATTACTCCGTGATTGATTCGTATTGCTGTATATTGTACTTGATGCTGTATGTAATGAGGTCCGTGGTGTCAAATGGTAGTCTCTGTTCTGATGAAGTACACTGTCTGATAAATCTCTAACATTCACCATTTGTGAATTTGGCATATTTATTCCTGGCCCAGGTAAAGTTGTACTTTGGTTCTCAGCTTGAAGGGAATTGCCATATTCATAAAATCTCGAGTAGCTTGGTATCTGTGCTCCCATCAATGCCAACTCTTCTTCTCTGGCATATTCATCCTCAGCATCACCAGTCTCCATTGCAATGGAAAAACAAGTTCCTTCTGTTGAGATAGGCTTCTGTGGGGCATTTCCTCCCAGAATTCTCTGGGGGCAATCACTAACTGCCAAAGAAAACACTTCACGGATTTCTAAATTTTGTGTTCTGCAGTAAGGGTCTCTGATAGTTGCCTTTTGTCCATATAAATTACGTGATGTCAAACTTGCGTATTCAGGCTTATATGATCTTTGAATCCCAACTGGTTCAATTTTGCAAGGTCGGTGGCACAAAGATGGCTTTTGAGATACTGTCATTTCAGAAGCCTGCACTAAAGAGCTTCCATAGTTTTTCTTAGTGTGATTGAATACGGAGTTTCCAGCATTTAGCACACTTGTCTGTCTTGACAAAATAATTGTTTTTTCACCTAGAAGCAAGGATGCATTTTTACAATGTGCTACTTGTCTTTGGACAGGAATGTGAAATTGAAACTCAGTGTCATTTTTATTGGCTGTTTTCTGAATAGGAATTTTACATGCTTCTGTAATTTGTGTATTTGTATGTTTGGTTGTCGCTTGCCTATTTGATGAACTGGCTGGACTGTATACACCAGTTACAATGACATCATTATTGGCAGATGTCCAGGAAGACTGTTGGCTTGAGGGTGGAGAAATATTAACCACATTTCTGATGGTGATGTCTGGTGCTGTCAAAGAGTTATTGGAAGCAGTTCCTGTTGCCATTCCTGGTTCAGAATTCTTGCTACTCATTTTTCTTCTCTTATTGCCAACCCACGTCTAGAAGGATAAAAAATGATATTACAAAAAATATCTCAATAATAAGTTAAGAAAAAACAAATTTTCACATGATAGATTCTCATTTGTTGTAAGACCAGTGCCTCAACAAAGGTAAAAGAAAAAGACACAATAAAAGGAAAAGTAACTAAAGTATAGGATCAAAGATGATTAAGGACTAATATTTAAAAAAATCTAGAACTTTGTCAGCAGAGTATATTACCACTCCTCTTCTTCTCAAAACACATCCAATCAATGTTTCAATAAGCCTAAAAATGTTTATATCCTATAAGCTAATAAAATCATCTTGAGAAATTTATCCTAAAAATAATCCCAGATGTGGACAAAGTTATATGCAATTATGTTCATCATGTATTTATTTATAATAGAGAGAAACTGAAAGCATTCTAAAGGTAGGGTATCTAAATTAGAAAATGCTCAGAGCACTGTTAAACAAACATGTACTTGCAATATTCAGGTTCCATGATTTCTACTGTATGATTATATCTTAATAAAATATTCATTATTAAAAATCATATTGCAGAAGGGAAGGACAAGATGGTGGCTGATTAACAGCCTCTTTGCTACTGGGAGTGGTGAGATTGGGGAGAGAAAACTCCAGGTATCTCTGCCTTGGAGTCTGTGCCCAGAAACATCCCTTTGGGGAAACAGGGAGAGAGTGAGAGACTTCTGGACCCCAGGAGGAGGACAAAAGCAATGGAGAACTGGCAAGTGATGGCAATCAGTCTGAGGCTGCTGCAGCTGTAACTGCAACCACAGTGACATTACAGACAGGGAAGGAATTCCCTGCGGGTTGTTTTGTTTTTTGGACTTGTGCACTCGGTCGAACTAACTTGGAAGAACTTGGGCAAGAGTGTGTATGACTTTAAGCATTGTCCAGGGTCCAGAAATGAGCTGCTGGGCCAGAACAGAGTTAACATTGTTTGGCTGCAGGCTGTGAGCAGCCATTGTGGGAGAGCTGCCCTGTAAGCTCTGCCCTCAGTGTTGCACAGTTAAGCCTGGGCTGGGAGACATTGGGAGAGTGATATGGTGACTGTGAGCTGCACCAAAGGCTAGGACAGAGATGCCGGGAAAAAGTGGAGCTTTCAGTGTTTGGCAGTAGGAGGACTTCCTTGCAGCCTTGGCCCTCAGGAGCATAGAGTAAGGCCCATTTTGCCACACTGGATAATCAGGCAGCCAATTCAGTTGAGATCCCAGTGACAAGTGCTTTCAACCTTCTGCTTAACCAAGGCTAATGGTTTAAAGTGTCTTTTAAGTGGGCTGAGGAGAGATTCAGGCTCTCAACCCTATGGGGTTTGAGGGCAAAGAAGTCAGCAGAGGCCTCCAGTCTCTATTTCATACAGCTATATCAGCATTGGGATTAGCATCTCATACCCCAGAAGATCACCCATTGCCCAGACAATATTCACCAAGATATATATACTGCTTTGTTTTTGATTATTTTTTTATTTCAACATTTTCCCCCTACATTTTCCTTTCTTCATTGTTCTAGTTTAAATACGATTTTCCATTGTTGCCTTCTTTAATAATAAGAATTTCATTTTTGTTAGTGCTTTTGCTCCTGTTATTTGGTTTCTCCCCCAATTTTATCCTGTAAAGTTTTCTGTTTGTTTTGGTTTGATTTATAGTATATTTGTCTTTCCTCTCTATTTGGTGGAGGTAGCGTACTATTTTGACTCAGGTTGGCAAGGAGCTGCTAACCTCAAGGGAACCACACGATCCAACAACCTTAGAGGATGGAGGTATTTAAGGTGTGGGTCAAAGTACCCTACAGTACACCTTTATTACTCCACCTTCTTTCTGTGCCTCTCTTCATTTTGTCAATATTCCCTTTTACTCACCCCCTCTCATTTCTCTTTTCTTTTTTTAAAATCATTTTTTCCTTCATGCTCCTCACTCTTCTCATTCTTTTAGTCCTGTACAAAAAGGACTCATTGAAATTGTAGGCCAGAGGCATGGTAAATTAAGAGCAAGAAGAAATGAAAGGAAAATTGGGGAAAAGAAAGAGATAAAAGAAAGCACTCATGAGGAAGAATCAGCAAGAAAATCCTGGGAACATGAAAAACCAGGCCAGAGTAACCCCCACCCACCAAGGGACCATGAGGTAGCTACTAGAGAGGATTCCAAATATAAAGAAATGTTAGAAGTGACAGAAGTGGAATTTAAAACACAGATGATGAAAATAATGTAGGAAATTGCTGATAAAGTGGAAAATAACCAAAAGGAAATCCAGAAACAGAATCAAATAAGAGATGAACAGCATGACGAATATAGAAAGGATATAGCAGAGCTGAAAGAATTGAAGTAGTCAATTAGGGAACTTAAAGATGCAATAGAAAGTATCAACAAATGATTAGACCATGCAGAAGAAAAAATCTCAGAGGTAGAGAATAAAGCTATTGAGATAACTCAGATAGTTAAAGAGGCAGAAAAGAAAAGAGAGAAAGCAGAATGTTCACTGACAGAACTATGGGACTTCATGAAGCATTCAAACATACGAGTTATAGGTATCCCAGAAGGGGAAGAAAAATGCCCCAGAGGAAAGCAAGCCATACTAGAGAATATTATAAATGAAAATTTCCCAAATATAAGCAAAGATTCAGACACATTCCTAACAGAGGGATATCAGACCCCATTTTCACCTTAGCTCAAATAGAGCTTCTCCAATACAGATGGTGATGAAACTGTCCAAAGTCTAGACAAAAGAAAAGACTTAACCAGCTGCCAGGAGGAAGTGCCAATTGTCCTACAGGAGCAAATCCATCAAGGTGACTGCAGACTTCTCCAATAAAACTTTTTAAGCCAGAAGACAAGGGTCATCTACCTTTAATCTACTTGAACAAAATAATTTCCAGCCCTGGGTGGCACCTGTGGCTCTGTGAGTAGGGCTTCAGCCCCATGTACCGAGCATGGCAGGTTCAAACCTGGCCCCAGCCAAACCGCAACAACAAGTAAAATAGCCAGGCATTGTGGTGAGTGCCTATAGTCCCAGCTACTCAGGAGTCTGAGGGAAGAGAATCACCTAAGCCTAGGAGTTGGAGTTTGCTGTGAGCTGTGTGATGCCATGGCACTCTACTGAGGGTGATAAAGTGAGACTCTGTCTCTAAAATAATAGTAATAATAAAAATAATAATTTCCAGCCCCAAATTCTGTATGCTGCTATGGTAAGCTTTGAAATTGACAGAGAAATCAAATCTTTTACTGATATGCAAACATTCAGAAAATTGATCACAATAAGACCAGATCTACAGGAAATAATTCAACCTATTCTATAAACTGATCATCACAATGGACCACCACTATTCTATAAACTGATCATCACAATGGACCACCAGCAAAGTACCCAGAAATTAAAGGACAGAACCTAGCTTCCAAAATGATGTAAAATATAAAACTAAGCAATGGACTTTCACAAAATAAGATGACTAGGCATTACCACACTTATCAATTATCTAAATAAATGTTAATGGCTTGAATTCCCAACTGAAGAGGCATAGATTGGCTGACTCAATCAAAACCATAAGCCATTCATTTGCTGTCTGCAGGAAACACGCTGAGCTTCAAAAGACAAATTGAAACTCAGAGTTAAGAGTTAGTAGACCATTTTTTCAGGCAAATGGAATTCAGAAGAAAAGAGAGGTTGTAATCTTATTTTCAGATGCAAGTGGATTTAAAGTAATTAAAGTCAAAAAGACAAAGATGGACTTAATATTGGTCAACAGAAAAATACAACCAGAAGGCATTTCAATTCCAAATGTTTATGCACCCAACTTAAATGCTCCAAGATTCTTGAAACAGACTTTAATTATTCTGAGCAACACGATACCTGATAATACCATAATAACAGGGGACTTTAACACTCCTCTTACACAGCTGGACAGATCCTCTAAATAGAAATTAAACAAAGATATAAGGGACTTAAATGAGATCCTAGAAAAACTGTGCTGGATAGATGTATATAGAGCACTCCATCCCAAAACTAAAGAGTATACATTCTTGTCATTGGCCCGTGGAACATTCTCCAAAATTGATCATATCATAGGACACAAAACAAACCTCAAAAGAATGGAAATTTTACCTTGTATCTTCTCAGACCACAAGGCATTAAAGGTGGAACTCAGCTTCAACAAAATTGGTCAGCTCCATACAAAAGCATGGAAATTCAACAACCTTATGCTGAATGACAGTTGGGTGCAGGAAGAAATAAAAGAGGAAATTGTTAACTATCTTCAGCATAACAATGAAGACACAAGCTACCAAAACCTGTGGAATATGGGAAAAGCAGTCCTAAGTGGAAAATTTGTCACTTTAGATGCCTACATCTGAAAAAAGAAAGAGAGCACATTAGCAAACTCACCAACCATCTTATGTAATTTAAAAAAGAAAAACAGTCTAAGCTTAAACCCAGAAGAAGAAAAGACATATCCAAAATTAAATCAGAGATTAATGACATTGAAAACAAAAGAATCATTCAGAAAATTAAGAAAACAAGGAGTGTTTTTTTGAAAAAATGAATAAAATAGATAGACCTATGGCCAGACTAACTAGAAATAAAAAAGTAAAATCTTTAGGAACCTCAATAAGAAATGATAAAAGGGAAATAACAACTGATGCCACAGAGATACAAGATACTATCTCTGAATACTACAAGAAACCCTATGCCCAGAAATTTGACAATGTGAAGGAAATGGATCAATATTTGAAATCACACCCTCTCCCTAGGCTTAGCCAGGAAGAAATAAAGCCCCTGAACAGACCAATTTTGAACACTGAGATCAAAGAAACAATAAAAATCTCCCAAGCAAAAAATGGTTGGGAGATTCCAAATGGCTTCACACCAGAATTCTATCAAACCTTCAAAAAAGAGCTTATTACCATGCTGAAGAAATTATTCCAAAAAATATAGGAGGAAGGAATCTTCTCCAACAAGTTCTACAAAGCATAGATCATTCTGACACCCAAACAAGGAAAAGATCCAACTA